GAGGAGAGTCCCACTAAAAGCTTAATTTTGTTCCTATGGCACAGTATGTTTCTTATTCTCTCTGGAAGCTGATGCCCATCTTCCTATATCATATTTGCATGATGATTTTTGCAAAATGTTAATGAGGAAGAAAGACATACACTACAGGAAATTGAAAAACAAGCACAGACTTTTGGAAAACTTCAAGCATACATACAATGAATGTATAATGTTCTTAGAGAACAAGGACATAAACTAATGAGCAGGTATATCAACTCCCATTTTCACAAGTTCATGCTGGAAGCATACCAATGTCCTATTTAGAGAAATAATGTATGGACCAAAGTACTTGCAGGACAACAGCTATTGAACCTGCAGTCATTCGTGGCAATGAATGTTAAAAACTTGTTAAATGTTTTGTTTGACATGTAATAATGTCTTATGAAAGCTATATGAACAATGTGAATCCTAGTTTTTACTTTTTCTTCAGCTGACAGATTAACCTGGCAAGTTATTATTTAAAATAGGACAAGGGAGAACTATGCTTAAAAGATAATAGTTTGTGAGAAATAAAAAGGATCTTCCCATAGCAAAACAGGCATAAACTGCAGATATTGGCAAACTAAGGCAAATGAGATTGCTTGGTTCTTTATATAGTTCTATTTTTATCTATTTCTATTTACAATGCCTTAGTCTTAGTCACTCACCCATACTTTTTGAGAAAATTACTTTCCAACTCATGCTAGTGTTGTATCCTGACATTATTCTTAGCAAGAAATGATAAAACTGATAACAATTTTATGATTTTCTGTTTTGTGGGAACTGTTCTTCATTAGTATTTATTCTCAGTTAAAACATAGGAAGTCTGGAATATATTGTCTTAAGTTCAAACGAAATTAGTAAGAAATTATTGGTGAAATCTGGCCACTGCTTACAGTAGTATCTGCTTACAGTTAGGTCTGAAGAGAAGCATTTTTCTCCCACTTGTCACCACAGAATTTGGATATCTATTATTTTTCATATATAATTTTATTATATATATTTTAAATAAGTTTAAAGATTTATAAATTGCCATAGATGTACACATAGTGTACTATAACTGTTGCTTTTAAAATAATTTTATCCTCCTTTATGTGTAAGGAAGCTACTTTATTTCCTTGGGAAGAAGATCCAGCAATCTCAAAAGTGTTTCTGAACAGAAATACTAGAGCTGGGATTCAATGTGAAATAGTGAACAAAAAAATATATGTTTATAGATGATATAACCATAGGGTCATTATAGTTCAAGTGTATTAAAGACTGTCTGTAATAGGCACAGAATAGACTTTTATGAAAGAAGAATGAGTTTCTCAATAATATAGTTATTAATCAACTAGTGATACATGAATTGATAAAGAAGAAAAATATTTAAATGAGAAATTCACCGGATATTTGTAAAGATCATTAGCTAAATCTCAAAGAGTAGTGTAAATTACTATTTTATTCAAAACTTACAGTAGTTTAAAGAGACTGGGAAGAAAAATAATAATAATCCCAGAAGAAAGCAATGGTGAACTCCTTTAGTATTGTTGCCAAGGAAACGGCATGGTTGTGTCCACATAGTCAACTCAGGGACAGCTTTATTTTTAGGGTAAAAAGATTTGGCTTTCTGGGCTGAAGATTAAAGTGATTGTCACATAACTTCCCATGGAACAGAATCAGCTTTTTTTTCCAAGAAACATTCCATGTGGGAAACATTCTTAGCTTGTCTGTAGATATTTTATTAGGTCTAAATATTCATTTCCATGGATAGAAGCATTTTCCATTCATAGAAATAGAGTCATATAATCATTTATCCATGAAGAGATTCTTCTTTTCATGGAACTGAATATTTGAATCCAACTCTGTTTTTGCAAACTTAAACTAATTCATGTTAGCTATGAAACACATAAGTCAGGCAGGATTCTTAATCTCTATGCTCCTGGCAAGCAGATGAAACCCCTAAAATAAAAATCATGAGCAATAAAACATGATAAAACTTTAAATAAGTATGGTTTTAAATTAAAATGTTAAATATACTTCAATTTATGTTTCATATTTTGATATTACAATTCAATTTCTCCAGATGAAAGAATTATTATAGTTAAAATTTATTTTTAATTGAAACAATGAACTTATCATTCTTTGTACAACTTCAATTTATAATGAATTTGGGATATATTGATACAGAATGAGTCTTGCAAAGAAGTATAGGTAATTTAAGATCACATTCCCTTCTCACATTTTTAACCATCCATACTAAATATTCAAAACATCCAGTGCGCACACAATTCAGGCAACTCACAGCCTTTATAAATCAGGACTGGATTCACTGGACTAAATTACACTAACATAAATTCAAGTATTCCTATATAATAAATTTGAATATCAAGCCTGTTATAAATACAGACATTATTTGAAAATATTTTAGGTGAATTTGTACCTTTTTTATCTTTTTTCTCCTCTTCCTCTCCAGCACCTAGTAGAGTAAAGATGATGCCTGTTTGAGAATTAACTCCCACTGCAGTAACCACCATTCTTCCTGAGCCTTCCATAACATGGGTACCTAAAAAGATATTTAAAACACAGATTTTAGTAATCAGTACATTAAAGCTATTCGCTTATGATAAAGATTCAGTGGTGTTTCTGGTACTCTCTGAGCTTGGTTGTTTTCTTGTAGACGTTTCATTCCCAAATTAGGTAACATCACCAGTGCTACTAATCAGAATCAGAATAAGCTGGAAGGGACCTTGGAGGTCTTCTAGTCCATCCCACTGCTCAAGCAGGAGTCCCTATGTCATTTCAGACAAGTGGCTGTCCAGTCTCTTCTTAAAAACTCAAGTGATGAAGCACCCACAAAATCTGAAGGCAAGCTGTTCCACTGGTTAATTGTCCTCACTGTTAGGAAGTTTATCCTTAATTCCAGGTTGCTTTTCTATTTGGTCAGTTTCCATCTGCTGTTTCTTGTCTTGTCTTCTGGTGCTTTGGAAAATAAGTGGACCCCCTCCTCGTGGCAGCCTCTCAAATACTATCTTTGTACAAGTTTGGTCATGAAACATCTGCAAGAAAACAACCAAGCTCAGAGAGCAACAGGAACCTACAGTCTAATCCTGAGCTACAGATATTTTCTTGTATTGATAAAGTTACTGTTTAGACATGCTGAACATTCCACTTCTGAGAACAAAAGACACAGCTAACACACAGCTAACATCTCACAGAAAACATCGAGTATCTTTGTTTATTGCATTTTAATAATGAGACTAATGACACAATTGCTATATGAAATTAAGTATTAAAATCATAGGGAATTTCTACTATGCAAGCCTTGTTCATTTTTAGTTGAGTAAAAGGCAACATGACAGAATTACAAATGAAAAAGATTTCCCTTAGATACTAAAAGTTAGAGTCATTCAACATAAAGAAATGGGAGAATTTCTTCTCACAGCACATATGGAATTCACAACCAGACATATTACAGTTCAGCACTCTAGACACATTCATGGAGGATACTGCTACCAATAGTTTCTGGACATCCTAAAAATATTTCCTTCCAGGATAAAGAAAACACACTTTTGAAGAAAAATTGCATACTGCGATTAAATTCATACTTACTTATAGGTTTCCCTTGGAGAACTTTTGGTTATTGTAAGAACAGAATGCTAAAGCGGATAGGTCATTGATCTGAATTAATTTTTGTCTTTTGTTATTCAATTATGTTATTTTCATATATTGCTTTGGAATAAAGCCTTAAGTACTCATAATGGTGTAATAATTACTTCCATATCCAGAAGTACCTGTCACCGAACTCCTCTGGGCTGGATCTAGAACAATGTACTGCTTTCTACTGAACACACAAAACCAGGTGTGTTGGAGGAAACGGTGCTAATAAAATCTTTCCATATTTGCAGGTAAGCAGAAAGCCAACCCATGCTATACTGACTGAGCGGGAATAAAGACAGAAATCTCATTTCTCATAAGCAGATTAGTCATGGCTGAGTGTGTGGGAAAAGATCACCAACTGTGATCCATTTCCTGACATAGCCGAGCAAAGCCCCAACAATTTTGGAACTGCTGATTAAGAATGCCCTGGTCAACCTGAAGATAAGACCAAATACTTATCTTTGATTCTGAGTTAATTTCAAAGGGGCTGACATGAAGGAATTTTTAGTTTCTGCTTATTGTATACCAATTATTAATTTTCACATAAGCACAAGCAATGATTTTTTTTATTCTCCCTCCTATAGTAAAAATCCAGGGCTAATTCACCCTTTCTCTGTGTGTGAGTCAAGAGGTCACAGCAATTCCTGATTTTGTCCTGTGACAAATACACACTGGGATATAAAACTAGTAGACAAATAAATACCAATTTCTGCACATTTTATTTAAATGAGTCCAAAAAAGAATAGAAAACCATAATTTTTAGAATTAACTTGCTAGAATAATAGGGTAGAAAAGTATTTATGCAGGAAAGAATAAGCATTTTTACAACACAAAGCAGTCTCCTGCTTTATATATACATAGTAAGACAAGAAAAACTCATAACCAACAGAGTGAAATTGTTACATAAATTAAACCAATCATGCCTAGAAGTGAGGACAAATATAAGCAAGTGTTATCTTAAGTGTTCAGTGAATCCAAAATATTTCCTAGGTTTGAAGCCTGCTGTAATGCTTCTGTTTAGCAAGAATCCAATACTGGAGCACTTTCTGCTGAAGAATCAAATGTGAATTTTAGTTGTTTTTTTCTCCAGGCAGTGACTGACCTGATTCCTTAATATAGCTGCATTTTTATTCATTTTTTAAAATAAAATTAATAAAGCATGATGTCCACCAGTGCCTTCTTTACTTCTGAACAAACACAGGTTTCTTTTTTCTTTCTTTTTTCCTAAATTTTTCTGAATCTTTGTATTTAGATGCAGAAAGTTAGAGAGATAGATAAACTCAGGTAAAACATCGACATTTGTCTGATAATTCATGTTTTGGAGCATTCTTCTTCTTTCCTGTAAAACAGTCCTGAGAAGGAGTAAATTGCAAGGAAGAAGCAGGACATTTTCCACTCTAAGAGAAGTTCCTTTTTGCCATCCAGGAACATGTAATATCCTTTTTGCATCAGAACTATTGCCTATTTTTCATGTCTATCACAGATTTTCACACGTCCTTGGCAAAATGCTTTTCTCTTATATTGGAAATAACAGCAATAAATGGCATAATCCCATAAGAGAATAGATGCTATTTGGAACTACAGGCACCACTGGTATTGAAAAGACTCACGAGATCCATGAACTCACATATCACTTTCACTTATTTGCTTACACATTCCACTTTTGCAGATGTGGAAGCAGTATCCAGAAAGAAGTTAGGACAGATATTATACTGAGTCTGCTACAGTGTGTTGTGACTGATTAAATGTAGGGTTTCTGTGCTTGGACTTATGGCTCCCGCTGTGCTTTCTGCACTGTGCTTTGAGCTTTCATGAAGAAAGCTTGTACTGATTGCTTAGTTTGCCATCCTGGAAAATACAAGGGCAAATTTATACGTATACTTTGGTTAATATAAGCAATTTGGTTTCTTAAATGTCTGGATGATGCATGCATATCATAGCATCATTAACATATAATCTACACAACATCTTTGCAACATCACACATAGATTCTATAATGAATATGCGATCATAAGTTTTTTTTTAAAAAAAAACTTATTACTGCACTGATTAGCAATGGCAGTTCCGGTTGCCCTTGTTAAGCAAGGACCTACAACTTGCAATCTCCACATTGATTTTTTGTTTGTTGAAGTCAGTGGGGAAGGTGCCAAATGGCAATCATGTGATTGTAGGGAAAATTCAGTAGCACTTATTCATTGCCACTTATTCAGCACCATTGCAAGTTCAAACAGTTGCTGAATGAGTGGTCCTTAAATGAGGACACCTGTAGTTCCATTAATTCATAAAGAAGAAATTAATCATATACCGGTAATTAGATCAATATGAACTAAAGTTATGGCGGAATTGTATCTTATGCAGACAGCAGAGGTTTTGAATTCCCTTTCTACTGATAACTTATTGCTATTCATTAAGTATACACCCAAATGCACTTGAATTCTGATATGCTGTAAGAAATTCATTTTAAAAAGACAAATACCAAAAGAATTATTGGCAAGAATGTGAAACTGGAGAAAAGAGAGGGAAATATCCTACTTAACAGATGTTGAAAAAGAGCAGATGCAATAAATATTTTTTCTTTAAAAAATCTTATAAAGACAAAAGTGGATGATTTTGGACAATTTATTCTTACATCTTATTTGCCTCTCCCAATATATAAAATATAAACAAACTGGCCTTTATAAGGATATGAATGATATAAAACTTACAGAACTTTTACAAATAATATAAATATAATTATTTCATTTCTGGGTAGTATTACTTTATGAAACAGAGGGATAAATTAACAATTGAAAAGGCATTTTAACAGGATATGTTTTGTTGTAATAATTTTAAATATAAGAAGGATAGTGTCAGCTCTAATTGTTTTGGCCCACTGAATGAATCAAGCAGTTGTGCACTCTGGGCCCTATTCCATCAAATCAGTGCCATCTTATAGAATCTGTCCTCTGAAATGATATTGCCCTCCCCCAAAGATTTGTGAGACTGCCACCGTTATGACATTCCTCAAAACCTTTTGTGTTTTTTTTTTGCTTCTCCCAAGCTGGTTATGGAAGCCTTTTTACTTTAGCTTAGGTTTCTTCTAATGGTTGGTGGTGTTCTCTTTTATATGTGTGGTTTCATTTCTTTTAATTGCAATCTTCCCGGAGCCACTAATGAATTGGGCAGCCTCAACACTGAAATAAATAAATAAATTTAGGATAGATATTATTCTCTCTCCCCCACTTATCCCCTGAACTCTCTATACATGCATACATATTTTACTATATATTTTTGATGTTTAGGCAAGCATTTTGTTACAGTATGCACAATTTGACTAATATTACATAAAAAATAAATTGAATTACTCTGGATAGTTTTGGTTTTTAAAAAGTGGGTTTATATAAGTCAGCTGAAACATCATTTTAAGACAAAATCTAGTGCCAACAAATATATACATATGTAATTTTCTACTAACAATTGACCTGATTGACCATTGTATTGTTGTGTAACTATTCTTAGCAAAGATTAAATAAAACCTTGCTTTTCATCTCCATGCATGAGTCAGAAGTAGCTAATATTATGCAGCAGCTACACAAAGAATTTTATCTACCCTATTTTCCGCCAAGAAACAGATAACAGTATGAAACAGAAAATAGGAAATGTTTATGCCCTCGATATCACCAAAATATAGCTAGAATAAACAATTCATGCTGTCTGATCAATACACTATAAAAAAGAAAAGTCCTTCTACCTTTTATCAAGTCTTTAGTGGGAGATACCAATGGATTTTCAACAGCTCATCAGATTTCCTTTCTCCCTAGCCTTTGTGAACAGAACTCAGTGTTAGGTTCCTGAGAGGTTCCCCTAAAGAAGATATTCTTTGACCAGCTGGTAGAAGGTTACATTTTGTTGTTGCTGTTATTCAATCTTTCCATTGCTTCTGGCTCTTTGTGAGCCACTAAACATCAGTCCTCCACAACTGTCTATTATGTATCCCAAACATTTATGCTTTAGCTGTGCTATTATTGCTTCCACTGAGCGGTCTGTTTTTATTTCATCTAGTATTGAATTATTTGTTCTTGTATAGTACGGTCAGTTCTCATATAGCACAATGATTCCATTGTTAGAAACCCTCATGTTATACAAAATTATACAATATGAATAATAGTTTTATGGAAAAAAATAAGTTGGGCCAGACCACTCAAGAATGAATACTCATCTGTAACCAAAACATGACTAAACACACTAAATGATCCTGTATTTAATACAGTTCAGTAATTAGTACAAAACTACCCACTTTCATATATTTTTTCTGATTGAAGAATACATGGATAATGAATTTCAAGAAGGAGGGGGGAAAAAACAGAAAACAAAGGATTCCATATCTGTGATTATCAAAGGTTTATTTAATGTAGAAAACATACCTGAAAGCAGCATTGGATCTTTGTCAACGGATTTGCGGACTTGATCTGATTCTCCAGTTAAAGAGCTTTCATCAATCTTAAGATCATTTCCTTGAATAAACACTCCATCAGCAGGTAGTAGGTCACCTATCAGTAAAATCATTAAGAGAAAATCTAATTTGAAAAAAGTGTATTTATTTTGCAATGTATACAACCACATATCATATATGTAATGTATGAAACTTCCTTATTCTAGATTTCCATAATTAAGATATGAATCTTCAAATAACTGAAATCAAAATAAAAATATACTCTTTCTGTAGATGAACTTTTAGTAATTTATCAAACTACTACTACCTGGTAAGTCTATTATTACTCACTCTCTTTTTCTCTTTTGTCGCTAACTATCAGCTCATCAGATTTAATAACTATGCTAAACATCCACATATACAGTAGAGCATATTTTGGCATATGACAAGCAGATTTTAGAACTGGTCATTCTATCCCTTCACCATGGCATCATACTGCAACTTCGGGCTGAAAACATCCATATAATCCAAACAGGCTTTGCATTTATATACTGCATTCACTGACTAATGATTTGCATTTGTCTTATCTCCAAAAGAAGATTTGGGTGATAAACTTAAAAATACTTCTGTAGACAGACAAGTACTGTTGTGTATGCATAACCTTTATGACAATTCTAAAATAAATGTTTTTTGCAGCCATTACTCTAAAGAGAATACAAGCCAATCAGGAATGAGAAAAGGGTGATTTTGGTCCCCTTGTTTAATTGTATATTAACTTTCTTTTGGCCAAAATAACTAAATTACCACATCAGCATCTGAAATTAGCCAATATTCCAGTCCTACTGTGTACAGAAAATGTAATGCTTCTGTCACAAACTTCAATTGGACTTAAACAAACCCTAAGTACCTTAGCCAATTACTGTTCTGTGAAAGTACTAGAAATCAACTATTCAAAAACTAAGATCCCAATTTTTGCCAAGCGACATGCAGTGCATACAAGGAGGTTAAAAAGCCAGATTATACAGCAGGGGAATTTTTCAAAAGCTTAGGCATGGTGTTCCATTGTTTTACTAAATGTAGTGCACGTAAAAATTATGTTATCCAAAATGCACAAAAAGCAGTCATTTCATAGCACATCCAAGCAGTACTAAAGCTTTATTAACCCAAAGGACAACTACAATTATTGTTTGGTGCACAGTTGGGTCCTTACTTTTGCTCTACTAAAAAGAGTTTAATCCAAATTTTTAAAGATTATATTCTAAATGGCCCCAATGTCCCTAGTGTAGTATTTAAAATGAGAAAGATTTCACCAAAGTTGAAACATGCACATAGATTTGCATTATTTCATACTGTTCTTTTTAGAATGTCTGAATTCTTTTCTTATTGAGAACAATTCTAAATTAATATGAAACAGCACAATTCTGCAAAAAAAAATACCATTTCTATAGATAAAGATAAAAATTTATAGATACGTATAACTTTTGTAAACTAAATCTGATATTTCAAATTATAAATTGATAAAGGCAGATAGAAATATCTAGATATACCTTTTGTAAACTATTACCATTATAATTGCTCCATATGTTTTAGATAGTTTTTCCCAACTTGGCTGCTTGACTTTATCTTTGAGATGTCATCTCAAATTTCCTTAATAAGCAATTAAGGGATTAAAATATCAGGTTGCATTCTCCAGACACAGTACAATTCCACTGACTTTAACAATGTGCTGGACCACAGTTGAATTTTGATTCATGTCATGGATGAAAATAATGTTGATTGTGCTCATCTTGCAGGAAGCCAATCCAAATATATAGAAAAGATTAATCATGCCATTCATTTCATTGAGACAGATAGAAACTGTGTTCTTGATATTGGGATGTGCATTATTCTCATCAGAAATATACTCAATTTCTTCATTAAGAATAGATGCTTACCACAAAATTTAAAGCTACGAAGCAATATTGCTCTTTTTTGTCTTGATTAAGGCTCTTCCTTTGCATTCCTACCTATTCTTTCTCAAACTATACTTCAGTTGATTTTCACTAGCTGTTTTCCCAATAACACTATTGATCCTCAATTACATGGTACCAACCAGTGATTTTACCTATCAACTTAAGCTAGTTCTTTGATTACTAAATATAATATTATGTTATTCCTCACAGATGAATTTAAATTGTTAATAACACTGGAACATTTTTTTCAGATAATTGATTGTATGTTATATTACTTTTTTTTCCTGTGTATTATAAGGAATCAGCCTTAATTGTTCAGTTTATTAGCTACTATTTTCTTGCTACTATTTAATGGGTTATAAAGAACTCCTAGGGATTCAGACACAAATTTTCTAGAAAGTATACAAAAAAACATACCATATTTGACTTGTGCAATGTCACCAACTACAATCTCTGCAACTGGAATCTGAATTACTTGTGCATCTCGGACTACAGTAAACTTTTGTTCTTGCTCAATACGACTTTGAAGTCCACGGAACTGCTTCTCTTTGCTCCAGTCATTAAAGGCTGTAACCAGCACCACACATATAACAGAGAGCAGAATGGCAGCTCCTTCAATCCAACCAGCTTCTGCCTCACCTTCCTCTTCAGCTCCTCCTGCGGCAGTAGCACACTCTGAACAACAGAAAAAAAAAACCAGGACATTATTTGAAAATTATGAAAACTGTTGTTTAGAATTTAAATTTTTAATATCGTAGCTTCTGATAAAATAACATCACATATTACGGTTAACAATATGGGATCTAAGTATTTTACAGCAAATAGGAAAGCACAGCTACTTTTCTTCAAATGGGTTATTAAATAATCTAATTATTAGAAATATCAACTTTCATCAGATACATTTTAATATGCAACACAGTAGGATTTGAGAGCCAGTTTGGTGTAGTACTTAAAGCGTCAGTCTAGAAATTAGAAAACTGTTAGTTCTAGTGCCATTTTAGGCACAAAACCACTTTAGGCACTAGTCATTCTCTCTCAGCCCTAGGAAGAAAGCAAGAGCAAATCATTTCTGAAAATCTTGCCTAGAAAACTGCAGGGACTACCCCAGGCCATTGTCAAGAGTCAACACTGCCCAAAGGTACCAAAATAATACACTATCTGAAATTTGTTGTACAAGAGGGGAGGGGCTGGGATTCCGAGACAGAGAACCTTGGATACTTTATCCCAGCAACTGTTGAACTGCCCTTATATCTTAAAGTTGGAGGTCTGACATCATTGGAGACAAGTAAAGAGCAGATCAAAGAGTATTCCCTGGCATTGCTGGGAGAAGTTATGAGTAAACAAGATCCTAATTATCAATGCCACTGACTCATATCCACAGATCGGCCAGGAATGGAGGAAATAAGAACTAAACGTGATGACTCTACTTTGCTGATGGTATCCAAGATAGGACAGAGAGAGAAAAAATCCAAGCAGGGTTAATTTTACTGAGGTTCCACCCATATATTATTCTTTTTTTAGTTCTTTCAAAAAGCATAACGTGTACATGTAAAATAACAAGAGTAAAGGCCAATATAAAACTAGATTTCAATATAATGTTTCTTAGAGGCAATGAAAAATAACGATCTTTGGATTAAGGTGGACATTTCTTTTAAAATTACCATAACCTCTTGATTCCTTCAAAGGAGTATCTAGTGGGAGTACAGGATTCAGTGAGTGGGAAGTCTGCACTGAAATCAAAGTGATCTTTGTTTGATCATATTGCCTTGTTAGAGGAATGGTAAGAACTTAGCCTTGTTCACTTGTTAACTCTTTTATTCTGAACTTATACATTTTACCATTGTTTTTTTAACTGTTTTTAACTGTGCTTTTTAGTCATGTTTTTATATTATTTTATTTATGTTGTTTGCAAGCTGCTCAGAGTCAGTTAGGTGAGATGGGCAGTGTAGAAATTATATAAAACAAACAAACAAACAAACTCATGATTTCCCATCTCCTATCTCTAGCAATTGTAAAAAGATCCTGTATGGATGTGCTATTTATTCAATTAGTGTAAGAATTACATTTTATTTTATAGAAAAAGAAGAATTAATCTTTTAGATCTCTCTGCTGCCAATCCCAACAGTTAATGCTAATCTTTTCATGAGGAACATTATTTTTTCCTACTATTCTTCCATTTGCAGAAAATGTATCCAGCATCAAGAGAAAGGACAGCTGTTATACAACTCTAGTTTTCATTGCCTGCGAAGAAGAGATTCACTTGTTGAAATTTTAGAAAGGTGGAAGGATGAATTTGCTGCTTCACCTTGGGCAGAAAAATGTTCTGAGCTAGATCTGGCCATCCAGTGTTGTGAATGTATGTAAGATTTCAATTGATTCTTCACTGCTCACTATAAAAAGCTGGGTTTTTTTCAACCTTATTTGTAATCCAGGACCTAAGTATCTTAAAGATCATTGACTTCCAATGATTCGCCATCTACATCTGGAACAAAGGGCTTGGTCTCAGTCTCTCAGGATTCTACCATCAAACATCACAGGATTGGGTCTTGACCTGCTTCTCTACAGTAGCACATTCCTGAAACCAGAATAGTCCTGTCCTTGCTATGTTGCTTGGAAGCTATTAAGATCTTACCTTTCTGAAGGTCCTTTCAGAGATGATTTTTGTACCACTGAGAAGATATTGTGTATTGGCTGCCGCTGATTGTATTGGTGTTGCCTTACTGTATTTTTATTTAATTTTAACCTTTTCAATTTAGGAAGTGTATATATGTGTTGCTGTTTGGATTCTTCCTCTCATTTTAGTATAGTATTTTAAAAGTGTTGGCTCAGTTTAGTCTATATTTACATTATCACTTTATTTACTTACTTTATTCTGCAGTAAGAATTGGGATTCAAAAGTGGATTAATATTATATAGAACTCAAAGACACACTTTGTACTCAGAACTTAACTCTGCTGACCTCAAATTACTTTTAAATCCATGGGAACTACTTATGAAGTTCTGATTTTATTCAAGAACCATTTGTTCCTAATATTTTTTCAAGTTTTCTTCCAAAGTCTGTCCCTATAATATGTTGGAAAATTCTTGGCCAAACTGCAATTCAAGGAGAATGCTTGAATAAAGGTAGGAGTAGCTATGAGGAGTGATGCACCTATCTTCCCAGCATCAAATGACTTTCCTTGCTCTGATCCCTTGGCTTTCCCTATAGTGAAGATCAGTAAACTTTTCAGGCAACAGGTGCAATATCCCAAGCAAAAAATAATGATAATACTGTAATAACCCACATACATATTTTAAAAAAAAACATTTGAAATAAAATATAGAATAAAATAAAAGCAACCTCAAATTCCATAAGAAACAAAAGATTTCTAAGATAAATGCCTTATCCATACATATTCCATATGTATGTGGTGTGTATGGGTATGTGTGTGTACACATGTATACATATATGTTGCATGCTTATGGACAATGTTCATTAATATTAGTTACCTTTGTCTATATTTTGCTTTTCCATCAAGTCTTGCCTTCCTTATGCATCTATCAAAATGTATTTGTCACCTTAGGCTATAATAATCCCGTTTGCCTCTGATTGGAAATACTGCTGCAGCCATTTTCCTTACTCGTTTTTGGTTACATAAAAGGAGGGGGGTTTACCAGGTGCTTCGCTAGACAAAACAGACTTTCTGCTGTGGGAACCAAAGTCATTGGCTGCTCCCGGGACTGCAGGCTGGGCGTTTTGTGAAAATCCCGCCAAGAAGTTGCATTGGGGAACGTAGTAGCTTGCATAGCTTTGGGGGTGGGATTTTTTCACTTTGTATTTGGGATTGTTACGTGTGTATTCAGACTTGGTTTCACTTTTGACATGCCAATACTTTGTATCAATAAACATGTCCTTTGAGGAACTTGCAAGCCTCAGAGTTCTGCTTTATTTGTCTCTGTCTGTTGGAACCTTGACACTTTATATGCTCTGGGGAAAATCAGAAAGCTTTGACATAGCTCTGTTCTTCAGAAAGTCCAGCCCTAAGCTGACTGGTTGCAAAAGCTTGGTGATCTTATATCAGCTGCTCTTCAATTTTCCTCCTTGCCTGGTGGCAGAGTTAGCCATCTTAAGGGAGTCTGGACCTCAGCAAAAAAAAAAAAAAATCAATGGGGCTAGCTGATAATAAAGAATATTTTTATGTTTTATTGATTTTATGTAACTTCTTTGTTTGATTGTTGTGAGTTCTCCAGAGTCATTGAGAGTCACATGTCATACAAGTTTAATTATAATTATTTATATAAAACAATATAAAATTATTAACTCAAAAATATTTCAAGCATTTATTAGTTTAGAAATGAATAGAACACTTGGATCTTCTACCCTATTTGATAAGAGCATTTTTTATATATTAGACATAATCTTTTACAGACAAAGATACAAGTATTTTATTTTACCAATTTATAGTAGCGCAATTCCACAAATAGTTTTGGAAAACATTCACCAAGTACTTCTAAATAAAAATACATAGAAAATGATATCTGAAATGTATTGAATGATTTTCCAATACAGATATAAGCCTCATTATAGAATATCAATGCATTATATAAACGTACTACTCTATAGTATTTTACCTGTCAAATGACCAATTCAGTTATTATAAATTAAAGGATTATATGAGCAAAGATGCTGAGGCATGCCAAGAAACAACAGTGCTCAGTCTTCTGGTTTCCTATTATCGTTAATTAGGGATGTTTGGCCCAGAGATTACAAAGGAAATCATGAAGGAAATAATATTGACCTTTCAAGACATTCTAACACCACCTGAATATTAGTTATCACTGAGAAAAACAGTTAAACCAAGCCATTAAAATTTGAATTCCATAATCTAAAAAAGAGTGGAAAAAATGCCATTGCAGAAATGCTCTTAAATATCATATTTTCATTATTCTAGCTTGACAAAAGAACCCATAGCACATCCATAAGGAAACACAGAATATCATTGCAGTCCCTCACTTCAAACGTACTGGGGATCAATGCAGTTTGTGGGACTGCCGTGAACTCTGAAAAGTAGCAGTAACAGCATCAAAGGTAGACACACTCAATGAAGAGGGAAAACCAAGGTAACACTTCTACTAATTTTCCCTTTCAACACATATAAGAACTGAATGGAAATCCAGCTCAACGCCCCTCAGCTGGGCTCAAAGAAAGGTCAAAGTAAACTGCTGATCTTCTTTATTGGATGTATTCCACAAGAATAGCTATGTCATTGTGGAGGCACTACTCCTCCAATTTGCACAGTGATCAGAAACCGAGTACTCATCATTATCATGAGTTGCATAAAGGTAATCCTGGTTTGAGACTTCAGCAGACAAAAGGTTTCCGAACTTGAACAAGGAATTCATAGTGCAACATCAACCTAAGAGTAAGGTCCATTGAATGTTGTGGGAAACATTCCAACATATACTGTATATGGGGTTACAGGTAAGGAAATGGGCAGTTATTTGATCGTTTCCTTTCTTCCATAATAAAAACAGAAGGATCACATTAAGCAGATGATTTCAAGAAGAATATCTGCATCCCTCAACTAGTTAAAAACATAGATAATAAGAGGGAAATGATTAATACTTTTGCTTATCATTTCCATTAGCACCACTATATTTTTATTAACTATAAAAGAGAATTTCACACTAGAAAGAAATAAGATTTTGTTTGAAAATCTTAATTATTTCAGAATCTAAATAATCAACTATCTCAGATGGTCTGATAAAAATAAAATAGCATGGCTTCATCAATGTGTTGGGATAAATGATACCCTTCTATGTTTATTCATATATCTGACCTTAATATGTTGAGAGTATTGTCAATTGATTGAGCTGATCAACATTTACCTCTCAAAGATACATGATGTGATTCCCACCCTACCCCAAAGTTTATATTTATGCTTTTGTTGCAGGAGATTACATTTATGTTTGACCCACAAGTATTTGCATTAATACCTACAGGAACACCATTTAACAGGCATATGAAGATTCAGCAGAACAAGGAAACACTTGTGTCTTGCACATAATGACTAAGGCTTACTGGGCCATCTGCAAATGGGTGAGAGGGTTCATATTATCTACTAAAATAACTACTGCAGTTCTTTTTTCAAAATTGTATTGACATTAATTCAGGCATCAATGTGGGAACTGAAAAATACATGGACTAATATTTTATTTGCAATGCATTATGTTGTAAATTAAATTGATGTTAACAAGCAAATAACATCTCTCAGCCTACAGGACTTCTGAACATTTTCACTAAATAGCACTAAATTTCTAACTAAAATATCCATGTGTACAGAGTACTATTTAAAGGCTCTTTATTGGCTGCTAAATGGGTATAGTATAAATAAGTTATCTCTGATCTACCCATTACAATATATTTTCTATCTGTTATGGCTATGTGCACTTCAAAAATGTTTCAGAATAAGTGCATCATATCTCACATAAGCATTAGCCTAATTCCTTTCTGCCTTTTGTAAAGGAGGTTCTTTTTTCATGTTTCCATAGGAACCTGAAAAAATATGAGAATTAAGTTTAATGAACCAACCCCTTAAAACAGCATCACCTTTTTATCAGGTACTTCTAATTAAGAGCAAAAAAGCTAATAAATGGCTGAATATTTATGATGAATCATTTTTCAAAGCATGTTTTACATTGCTTTATATGTTAAATGCTACTTTACTCCAGACCAGATTAAAAAAAGAGTATGAAATTAAGGTTTACCCTTTCCAGTTCCAGTTC